GGGGGTTGAAGGGGGAAGAAAATGTAGCACATGGCAATAATAGAAGTGTTGAAAATGGATGTTGGAAGGGTTGAGTTATAGGTGGATTGGGCTGACTATAGGATTGAAAGAATTTTAGCAGGTGTAAGATAACACGTAGGCATAAGGCTGATAAAACCCTCGAATAGTCTTAAGAGTCGTGGGACACGTCATCGCATGCCTGCACGCCAAAATTGGGAGGTGCGACCGTACAAACAGTGACCAGTCATTAACCTCTGTTTGTTTAACCTAATCCGCCATCCTTTCATAGCTGGGCTATAGCTTAGCTGGTTCTGGGAGTCTAGTTAGATGTAGGAGAATCTGCCACAGAGATTTCTGAGTCAGTCAGGCATTACTGGCGTAGCAATCTGCTACAGAGTAAACGTATGGCAATCATGAAAAGAGGAAATGGAGTGTTTAACAGATAAAGCTCCTTATGCCAACAAATAGACTAAAATTATAAACTCAGTCAATTTGGTGTCAGTCAATTATGTACAACTCGTAAAAATGACTTAAATATGCGTCAGTGTAGCGTATCAAATGTTATCGTCTTACAATATCTAATTTCACAAGGGAATTCGATGATTTCACTGAATACGTGTTTTGGTGTCAGTTCGATCCTTTCTTCATCTACCGCATCATTAGCTTGTCTTAAAATCGGTAAATAAATATAATGAGTCATATAACACGCTCCCCCCTCTCATTTCCGCTTATGTTACATTTTATTTAAGCATCAAGCTCAAATTTGAAAAGTCTCATTATCTTTCGTATTTAAGGTACAATTTGGCCAATTACTGTGTTACACATACTAGTTTAACCTACATTTTAAAACATGCATGTGTTTGAGCTTGAAATTCTACTAGTCTCTCAGATGACCCCGTACAGAAATAGCAAACGGAGTACTACTTGTCTTGATGGAATAATTGTCTTCTCACTTAACTGTTGGGCTGAATAAAGTTGAAATAAAATATCATTGAATCATTTGCCTGGAACCATTAATCTCGTAGCGATAACGTTTGAGCGAAATTGGACGAGGGATTAAGTTTATTGTGCCCCACATGCAGTTTTGATTAAAAATATCAAAAGAAATGTCAAGAAAAACGGCTGTTCCGACGTTGAATACTCCATAATGAATCGAAGCAGGTTCAAGTACTAGCATGGCCCTTAAACGCACTAAAGTTTTAATTTGAACAAATAGAAGCGACGATTTTCAAGAAAGCAAAGTCCACAAAATTTTGAAAAACTGATTGCTTATGAAATTTTTATCAAAAAGTAGTTATTTGCCATTAGTTTCGAAGGAAATTCTATGCTTAAAATAATAACATTTGATTCTGACTATGGATCAAGTTTTTTTCAATTAGCACTTCGTTTATTTTGAGCAAAATATGATTAGGATGTTAGCTATTATAGTAAGATTCGAAATTTCAACTGCTCTGTTTATCAGTTACTGAGATGAATAGGTGGCATTTTGAGTTTTACATTGTTCGAAGCATTATGCAAAGATTAATATGACATAAGTTCAAGTAATATGATTGAAATTTTTAATACAATGTTAAAGAGTAATTAATGTAAATTATTCTGAGTTGGGCCGGACGAAAACCATCAGAGACGGGTTGACATAAGTAACCAAATTAAGGTAGCAGCAATGGATTGTGGATTAAACATTATTCATAGTCATTTATAGCAAAAATTACTGCCTTTAAGTAAAAGCCAATTTTAAAAGACTTAAGTATCATAAATAAAGTTGAATTCATATGTGTTTTACATTAAAATGCCAAGAGAGAGGATGAGTTTAATGTTAGCTATAAAAAATGTGGCGGAAAGATTCAATCATTCTTATGAAAAAATACACTCATTTCGAACTTAATACAATATCATTCAAAAATTAAGATTAAATAAAATTAAGTTAAACTATTATAAATGCATGAACAATTTATTTACTGACTGCCAAAATTTGTTTTATCCGATCAATTTTTCTAAAATATAAATATGCGCGTATTCGAACTATCATATATCTTGATTATTATATATATTTTAAAATTAACAGATGCAGCTTGTAAGTTTAAAAAAGTATTTTGATTTATATGATTTACCACTTTATATTGTTATTCACATTCAGTTTTTGAATCATTGAGTGAATGACAAACGAAATTTGTTAATATAAAATCAATTGAAATATTTAATTACAACATTATTTTGCTTTTGCCAAAAATTCATGTGCTAAAATTTTATACATTTTTAAAAAAAGGGAATATCCGATGGTGTGTATTCACCAGTGGTGAAAATCTGAAATGCCAGGCATTGTCAAAGACAATATCTCAGATATCAACATTCTCAGCCAATTACACGTTAAGATGTGTTATGGGTCTCTCTGAATTTGACTGCATGAAATTGATCAGTCAAGACAAAGCGGATCTCATAACATTAGATGTTGGCCTTGGATACATCGCCAGCAGAATTTATAGTTTGAGGCCTCTTGCGGTGGAAAATTATAACGCACAAGATCTCTCAAATGATTTATATTACTATTCAACAATTGTTGTTCCAATCGGTGAAGCTCTCGATCCTTACACCCTTCGACGGAAGGAAGTTTGTTTCTCCGGTTTGTAATTTTCATTAATTTGTGTTTATTCATCACTTATTCCGAAAGAATGCGCAATAGTTTAAGATGTAAATATCTAGGTTCATTCATTAATATTCTAATATCATAATTTTCATCACATAGGAGCTGGGACAGCTGAGGGCTGGGTGCTTCCTCTTAGCAATTTGATGGGAAGTATTCAAGCGATCAACATTACTCAGTGTAATAGTGTAGTACAGAATTTGATCCAATTTCTTGGTGATTCCTGTATACCTAACGCACTTCAGAGCGCTTTCAATCCATTTGGTGATAACACGCAGGAGATCTGTCGATTATGTGGCGATGAAGGAACTCAGGCGTTTTGTACATCAAGAGATCGCTACGCTGGAAATCAGGGCGCTCTGAGATGCCTTCACGAGCAGCGAAACGATCCAGAGACATTGAAACGTCCTGTTGCTGCAGTAGTGAGAGCTCAGGAAGTAGACTTTGCTATCAGTGATGGCTGGTTTCCTAAAGGTCTATATCAGCTTCTGTGCCCAACACAACAACTCAGGTAATTATTTGCATTAAACAGATAATTGTATTAAACTAGATACCTGCTCCTAGATTGAAGACGGAAAACTATTTACTCATTTGCGTAAACCGAAATATGCATGCTTAATCTATTTTCTTGTTAATTGTCACATAGTGGATGTATAATATGGACATTTCTACCAATATCAGAGTTATCTAGATTGAAATTGACCAAAGTTATAAAGTAAGCATTATTCGTGGAAGGTAATTCGGCAATAGGATAGGTGTTAAATTTTCCGCTATCAAACTTAAAGTTATTTTGCTTTTTGGGGAAGTGACTTCCTTTACTTCAACCAAATATATCCATTTCGCTCTCTTTTTTTTCTTTCCTTGTAAACGCAGTTATTGATCACGAACGTATAACTACCTCCCCCCTCCCCCAATAAATTCAAATGGCTTCACTTTGTTTTAGTGTAACGACTAGTAATGACGAATGATTGAAATGGCTACGCAGAAAAGAGACTCACTATTTCAACATTCAGAAGCAAGGTTTGGGTGGTTGACGATAGGCAATGAGTGGATAAATAATTATTGGTTACGAATCAAAGAGTTGATTTAATGTTTATAAAATCATTAGAAATGGTATTTTCTGCTGTTGACACAGACACAAAAAAAGCAACGTAAGTCAATTTAGTTGCCACAAAATCATTATTCCCAATTAGTAATCTAAACATCCAACCGCATTGATGAATTATGGTCAATAAATAGATTTAAGAAGTACAGAGTTTCTATTTATGGAAAATCGGTATATGAATCGTGATTTTTAAATTAAGTACTATTTAAAAAAACACAATTAGTCACTTACTGAGCAACATCATATGATCGTTATAAAAGAAGTAAATACATGCACGATATATTCAATACTAGTTATAAATATTCAGTTTCAAGAAATAAAGGGCATTTCTCTCTTCAGCGGCTTGTGGACAGCACCACTGGGAGACTGGGCTACCTGCAACTGGGGTCGGATTCCTGCCCGACTAGTTATGACTTCATCTCGCCGTCTCGACGTAAGACCGTATAGAGATTTTCTTAAACTTCTGATTATTAACTTCCAAACTAATCCAACACCCGGAAATCCAACGTTCAGTCTTTTCACATCCACTGAATATGTCGTTCCAGAACAAAATTACGTTCAGCGCAATCTCATGTTCTCTGATTTCACGCGGACACTCTATTTCCCCGAAGAAGAGAAAAGTGCTACTTATTATCAATGGATTGGTAAGCTTATGTTTACAATTGAAGCTGTTGTGTGATTCCTCCTTAAACTACTTTAGATCCCCAATTTCTTGCCTATGAGGAGATGCTGAATCAATGTCCATTGCCGACCATTCGATGGTGTGTTATTGATCCCTGGGAAATGGAGAAATGCCAACGAATGAGTAGTGCTTTTGCGGCTAAGGGTATTAAACCAGACCTGACTTGTGTTCTTGAAGAGACTACCATTGATTGTATGAGGCGGACTAGGGACGGATTTGTAGATATGATGAATGTGGAAGCTGGGGATCTATATACGGCGGGAAGTCAGTTCAATCTCGTTCCGATCGTAAATGAGTATGTTTTATCAAAGTTAAGCAATATTCTTCATTTGTCTATTCATAAAATAATCAATAGATTAAACAGCGTAGCCTAACTATTATTGCTATTTTCAAGACATTGGGCAGAGATATGCAAAAGAAATATTTCAAGATATTTATTTCAAATTTCTGACAACTTGCCATTGCTTGCATTTTCCTGGCATTTAAAAGCTAGTTTGTTACTGAAAAAGTATTTTGTCAAATCCCTTACTACATATCATCCATTCAATTACATTTTTGTTCTTCTAGATGGACTTTTAGTGGCATGTTTTCAATTATTCATTCTGTTTCCCATTATTAATGTCTAATAAAAAGAAATAATTTTGTCCAAAGGAAATTTCGATATCAAATTTACCTCCACACATTGATATTAATCATTTACAAATTCTTCGTTAGTATTAAAATGCGCAAAAATTGCGAACTATTGTGTGTTTAAATTTTGAGTAAATGCCCAAACTCATCCTTTACTTAGTGTTATTATTGAATTTGAGAATCTTTTATCCCTTTTGAAGGCTGATTAGAAAAGTTAAATTAAAAATGAAATTAGATTGTCTTCTCTCCTTAAAGTTTACAAATCTCTACTTACTACAGCAGGAATCCATATGGTGGTTTAAGGTTATGATCTATATAGGAACTATGGCATCGGACCGTTTTACTACGCTGTTGCTGTTGTTCGAAAAATCAATCCTGATATCTTGATCTCTAATTGGAAGTTTACACGTACTTGTCAAAGCGGCGTTGGTCGAGCCACCGGTTGGATTATTCCACTTAACTTCATTCTCCGGACCGCTCAAGTCCAAGTTTATGGAAGACACCTTATATATGCACTAAGTAAGTTAAGGAATCTACTGATTATTGGAGTTGTTTATCCTCAAGCGTTCTTCACATATTCTCCTCCCAAATTCATTAGGTGAGTTAGTGAGTCAGGCCTGCATTCCAGGAGTTCAGAATCAGGATTTCAATCCAACTGGCAGGGTTCCCTTGAACTTGTGTGAATTATGTATGAGTGGTGGAAACGATAGATGTCAAAGGGATAATAGAGAGCTCTACTTCGGCGAAGATGGAGCTTTTAGATGTTTAACAGAAGCTGGAGAAATAGCTTTCACGAGGCACACCACAGTTCATGCAAACACGGCGAGCAGGTCAGTTTTTGTAAAGAATGCAAATATGAAGAGAACTGGGAGTTGTTATTTCTTTTTTTTGAAAATTTCATATTTCGAAAAAATATTCGAATTTAAATTGGCTAATGATTAAAAGGACAAAGCCAGAGTTTTCCTTACAAAATTTAAAAAGGAAAGAAATTCAAGTACGTTTTCTTGCATTTCCAATAGAAATCCTGATTATTGGGCTCGTAACTTAAGGGAAGACGATTTCGAGCTACTATGTCCGGATGGACGGCGACAAAATGTTCAAGACTGGCATAATTGCAATCTTGGAAAGGTTCCAGCTAATACAATAATTACAGCTTCTCATAAAACAGAAAATGAGCGACTAAATATGTGGCGGCTGCTTCAATATGGACAAGTATATTACGGAGATGATTGGTAATGAATAATATCTATTTTGGCATTTTGAAAGAAGGGAATTAAATTTATCACCTCACGGATGAATGAATTTTGCTTTTGTACTTAATTTAGGAACCCAATATTCCGAATGTTTGACTCTGGATTCGATCATCGTAATCTGATATTCAGTGATTTGACTGAAAGCTTGACCCTAATTCCATGGGCAGAGCAGAACTATACTCAGTGGCTAGGAGACGACTTCCTGCGTCTAGTCCAGACTCTCAAAAATGTCGGAAATTATGGTGAAATTGGAGTCTACGAACCGATAAATGGAACAGCTTAAATCGTACATGGAAATATATATATATATATATATATATATATATAATTTTAAATTAGATACTATTTCTTTGCGACCATTTTATTACTTTGATTATTTATTTGTGCTCTACCAAACGCAAATGAAACATTTTCATTCCTCTAAAATATGTGATTTGATTAATCAGATACTTCGGAAATAAGCTTCACACAAAGAAGGTTCAAGGGTGATGAGATATGACCCATGCTAAAATTGATTTTTTCTATTGAGATTTACCTTTAAACCCATCATTTTGGACCTACACGATGGATTTATTTCGTAGAATTGAACTGGTTTACTTGTACAATTTGTTGAGAAGCTAATATGTGTAATTATCCACATATATATTATAGATGTATAATATTTAATGACTATTTTTGCATATTCCCATTCATATCATTTATTTAAGTAATTGAAGATCGTAGGGTACAAGAAATATACCAAAGGTGTTCGTCGTAAACCGAAATGGATCAGATCCACCAATAGAAACTATTAGAATGGCTCTATTTACTCTTATCGAAAATTTATTTATTTCAAATGGCATGCGTTTTAATAGTTATTATTAGCCCTTTGGCTGACGACAAGCTTCACAAAGGGGAAGGAACATCAAAGTGAGAGAAGGGGGGGCGGGAACAGAATTATTTTAAAGATGTAAAAGAGGCAGACAAAGGTAGAAAAAGGTGATGCGAGTACTACGGAAGTAGTTGAATATGACATACAGTTGGGGTGATGGTAGTTTGAGGTCAGAAGTCAACTACCGATTGATAGACATTTTTGCCGTATGAGTATACGTTGCCCAGGGTGCGCCACGTGGAAGTAAGTCTATTGCACACCCCATCTTATCGAAAATAAGGTATGTTAAAAGATTTATCCGAGCGAAATGAAATTTCTCTCCATTACAAATAAAAGCATGCATTTTTACAAGGTCGATTCCAAGCATTTTCTTTGAATACAACATAGATAACGTTTGGAGTATTAAAATATGTATTCATTAAAACCCATATTTATGCCGAAATTGTAGCATGGCGAAGCTTGTAAATATTTTGTTACCTTTAACGATGATATTGTGAAATGCAAAGCATCTCCAAAGGGTACAAAATTGATCTCATTCCATCTTGGACTATGTGGAAGATCCGAGATGTTAACGTTCCCATAGTGAAAAAGTGTAATCGTGAGTACATACATCTTTCAGTCCATCAATCAATAGTTGCTGCAGAGGAAAGTGGCACTAATCGTATTTTAGAGACTATGCTATGTGGCAGTAGCCATAAGTAACAATAAGTGTTTCTCATTTCATGCACTCTTTTTTTCTCGAAAAATGCATGGATTTTACAGGAGGGACCTTCTTAAGATATATTCAAGATTTATATATGTATTATTTGTTCCAATATGCGAGATGTATTCTAGTAATCGTTTGTCTTCTTCAAGATATCACTGCTCTGGAGACAAGAAATTAATAAAAAGGTCAATATGTATGACTAATTAATTTACTATGATAAGGTCTAGAAGTAACTTAGATCATAAACAGAAAATGTTATATTTCACTAGACATTTATTCAATGAATATTCAGTCGCTTTTGGTTAACAACCTGTCAATAACACTTTAATAAGCTATTTGCCAAAGTAATTTCACCAGCACCGAGTTCAAAGTATTTAGGCATGTAAATGGATTAGTTCGAATGGAAAAATTATTCCGTTTGAAAATATATTTTATATTTCTTCTATTACTGGGTACTTCATACGATGTTTCTAACGATTCGGCGTTATATATGCAATTTATAAGATATTACAAAATGTTTGAATATTTAATTAACTTTGATCATATTTAGTAGTTTGATTTTGATGGAGCAGAAGTTCATACATAGTAGACTAATAGTTAACACGTTTTCATTTAATTCACGTTAATTAAAAGCAAAGAATTAGAAACAATAAACGATGAAGAACTAATCAACTAAAAAATATTTTTGGCCATTATTTCTTTTAAACACCGTTAAGGTTAACTGTCCATTAAAAGTACACCTGTCTCGCATTGGTCAGCTGACTGTATGTGTTTGGTTTTCTTTGTACATTTCATTTTATTTTATACATTTATTATGTAAGGCAACGGCTATCTCCTTTTTTCATTAATTAGTTTTAACTATGTTGTTTAATCAAAATTACTAGTCAATTAAATTTTATTCTGAATATGCCGATCGACGTTTATTATTGCTTTCTAAACTTAGGCTTTCATCAAATGGATGAAAAACAAATTCCTTTGGACCGTTTTTCTCAGTGGCTCTATGCTATTTGTATTGTTAACTTTGACGATGACGTCGGACAAACTATAGAATCTATTTATCCCCGAAACACTGAGCTCAGTAATTCTGAACGATCTACAATCAGTTATCTGGCATTTCCGGATTCGCATTCTTCCGGTTTGGAAAGCAATCACTACCATTTTCGATTTAAATGCTCCTCGATAAATCGTCTCATTTTAAGATATTGCACGTTTTTATACAATGACTACTCACCTCCATTTTTAGTAAGCTTCATGCTAATCTGACCCTACATTTAGCCTGTTTATGGCATGTGTTTTGGATATGTATGCTTCAGGCAAGAAAAAGATCTCTCACAAAAGCGCCACTATTCTCAAAAGGTAAGTAGGATTTTAATGTAAATTGGCTTGAAATTTTAGTCTGTTGTCGTTTTATCTGCACTTCCATTTGATGAGCTCTTCTACGAAGTTGCGAAAGTGATCTCAGATTCTTATTTTTCATCTGGCTTTGCAGCAATTGAAGAGGGTATTTATATTTGTGTTTACCATTTAGAATTCTATTTGAGAGATATATAACACGAAGTTTGTTTTAATCTCTAGCTTGTCAAGAGATTGATTCTTGGCCACCTCCTAGGTCGAATGAGTTCCTTACAGTTCCTCTTCTTGGTACCTTTTTTAACCTACGGATTCCTTCTGTGGTTGGTACAGCTTCTTTGTCAACTAGATTCCCTCTTGTTGATAATGGATTAAACTCCAGTAAGGATTCAAGCTCAGTTTCCAGTTTATCAACCATTTCACTGCCAACTCATGCTGGGACTTGCACAAATGGGGTTGATCAGAAGACAGAAAGCGAACCTTCCACGTCGAATGCTCAGTTATCAGTGCATAGTTCGAATTCTTGCATATTCGTTCCAGTAAGCTTTATTTGGCTTAATTTACTCTTTGAAATTTCGCTTATGTTAAAATCGGTCTGTAATTTTACATTATTGAATAGTTAGCTAGGGAATCTAATGATCAAATGTGAGTTTGTAGTATTTACTAAGGCGTCCCTTATATTGAGATTACTTTTCTGTGTTTGCTCTACTTTATTTATTTTTCAGAATTTCTGATTTACTTTTAAAGTTCGATATGTATTTAGGCAGCATTTCTAAACACTGATGGTATCTATTATGTGCTCTTGTATGAATTCACTTTCCTAGAATTGGAAAGAGGAGATTTGGCTATAATTTCGGATTTTTTCTTATTTTGCTTGGAAAGTTTCACTGTATTATTTTCGCTAATATATTAATTTTTTGTTAATATAAAACTTGGATGTTATAAAAAAATGACGAAAATCATCTTTTTGCTGACTAACTTGGCGATCGCCATTCAGCGCAGATCTTTATAAAGTGGTACTTACAATAAGGTTGAGAAATGGACATTATCGATTTTCAGTTTGAGATCCTACCAAGTAGTCGTATATCGTTATGTGAGTTCATAACTAATGATTTTATATGTGGAATCTAAGTAACTCCAAGCTATGAAGCCCAAAGTAGCCTATATCTCTTTCAAAATGACCTAGATTCTTTCATAAGTGTTTTTTGTGCGCTTATTGCAGAATCTGGTTCATTTTGCCTTCAAATATGTACGATTGCTTTTAAACACTGCTTAGTAAATCTTTGGCGAGTGAAATAGTTTAGGAAAGGGTTATTCCTTGGTGCCTGACCACATACGCTTGTCCTATTCAATTTAATATCGTTAGATTATTAGTGAAATATAAGGGGGGGGGGGATTGATTGTTAATGTGTGCAGGAAAGCCTTAATCTATAAGGCATACCCTCTAAATACCCTCTGTCTGGATTTTAGCTAAGATTAGCTCTTCTTTTAACCTCAGAATGCTTTAAAGTGGAATTTTTAATCTCTCTTCCGTTGTGGATTCGTAATCCATTTGTGATAAGTAATAAACGCTATTCTGTTCGCGCTGATCTATAGAAATGGGAGTCTCTCAGTTCGTCTCTCTCTCTTACGCCTATTGTGCAAGTGTTAAGGGCGGAGTCTAGACAGTCCGCGAATGATGAGGAAGGCTAATAATCATTAATGTGTCGAAAAAGTAGTAAAAGGGGCTGGGTGAAGGTAATGGCCAGGTATTGACGTCATTTAGAGCAAATTACACTCCTCGCTCTTCGAAATGCTTGGACATATGTCATCCTGGGGTTATACTTCACTATCGATTCACTTTTATGAATGTCGCTTTCGTCCGCTTGCTTGCCACTAATTCCCCCCATTGAATTAACCTATCACAACATTTATGATGCTAGCAAATTACCGGGGGTTTTCCGATAGGGGGGTTAAAAATGAAAATGCGCAATATAAATTTATACATACATACATACATGCATATATATATAGTTTATTGTATCATGACGCTTAGATATATACCGGTTAAAATGAGCTGTTTCCCACCCTGCATTCTCTCCAATAAAATTAACATTTTTGGAATGACGTCATAGTTAATCCTACATCTAAACTTGAGTAGGTGTCTGCTGATAAAAACATTCTGACAGTTGTATAATAGGCTAGGAATAGCATGTTACTGTGAATGCGACGAAGGACCACGTGTCTGTTCTTCCGCCTTTACATTTTATTTGCGAAATTGAATTGTGGGTACTTAATTAGCTATGACTAATAGTCTGAAACTCATTTTTCAATTAGCGGTGGTGTGAAGAAAATGATGTGGTGTCAGTCAAGCGGGCAGTTGAGCAAGACATTCCCTTAGAGATTCTCTATGACCTCCGATTTGGAGTGGTTACACTGTTGTGCTTTCTTTCGACTGTGGTGGTACCCCCCCCCCCCCCTATTCGCTTGCTATGTACGTCAAATGATCTAAATTTAAACCTCGTTATTTACTTGGGGCCACTTTGGGGTCTTTCTATTTTTAAACAATACATTTGATTCATGAATTTGACTAAGTTCTGTTATTTCATCAAGTATCTAGGCATTTATAGCGTATTTTATTTTGATTTGCGTAAGTTCGTCACATTTACCGCCTTCATCTTACGTGGACCAATTTTATAGCATGCACTTTTAACATCTGGCCTTCACTTATATCGATGACTTCATTTTCAGGGGTGTGTGTGTGGTTGGGGGCGGGGGAGGGGTATTATGAAGTGACAGTAGAAAAGTCATCTATTGATGGTGTTTGAATGGCAGACAAGTCTATTTTAAATATTGAAACTGAACAACGCTCTTTAACTATTACGATAACCTCATCTGATAGTTCTAGCTTACTATTAGGAGAAATTAGGAACATCTTGGTGTATAGTTTGTTCTCCTTATTATTTATGATTAAATAATAACCAGGCCCTTGTTTTACACATTCATTTATGCTGTATCTTTCGTGTGTCACCTTTTTTATGGCGTCCTGGCATTTTTTGGTTTAATTATTGTTATTCCGGTATTTTGAGTTATGCTCGCATTTATTTCCTTTCTGCACAACTTACTTTTCAATCATTTTTCTGGGAGATCGATAACAGCAAATCGATATTACTGTATTAAGTATGAAAAAGAGCAGCAATAACTTTAAGTGCGTACATAAACGTGCTTCCTTTTTTCGACACCCCCGTCTTCCCTTGACCAATGGGGACTGTCTTCTGGTAATGACATTTTCTCATCACATCTGTGTGCATTGTGCATGCCGTATACTTTCTTTATTGGGCCGTTATAGCTAAAGTCAACTAAGTTAATATCATTATGATATATATATATATATATATATATATATATACATATATATATATAAGATCATTTTTCATCATTATTGTCTCTAATTATGCATTAGGTTAAAAACTGAGTGATTTTTATATCACTGAAAACAAGCTAATCCATATCTGGCATGCATCAATTTATCGGTAACATGAACGTGAGGCAATTTTAGCGTTTTATTTGGCTCTTACTGTGGCATCTAAAAATTACTTTAACCTAGCTAATTTTATTGACCTGAGCTTAACCTGTCAGCACTTTCTAATGCATATGATGCTGGAAACTGGTCCAACTATTTGTTAACACTAAAATTTTTCTTTTTGATTTTTTATCCGTGTGTATTTTTATCCTTTCATTTTTTTAAATAAACATGTAACAAAATTTCGGTATGAACATAACTTATAGAGCTACCGCGCTCCACTTATCCGTGTGACCCAAATTATAACAATTATGGTTTGTGCATGTAAACAATGTGAATTCTTTTCCCTGTTAATCGCAAGTTATCTTAAATGTGTGCGATTGATTAGCTCAAACCACTTGGTTCTAATTGTCCCACAAATACAATAAACTGTTCAATTTATAGCATATTTTGAAGTCAAACAAAACTATTCGACGTCTAGCGACCAAATGTGAACGCTTGTTTATTATTTATCTTTAAAATTTAATAGTTGATGCCGAGCTTTAATACACTTTTTCGAAATTGGTTCAAGGCCACATATGCAGTCTACTTTTGTGGCCTCTTCATCACTTTTCATCGAATAATGGGAGCAACTATGCTTGTGCGCCTAACTATACCATTGGACAATCTTAGTTATCGGTATGTTAGAGTTTTCCTTGGGGCCAATTCGAGGTGGAAATTTTTTGTCTTCAAATTGGCGCAATCTAGTTTATGTGAACTGACTGTTTATTCCCTCCGGTGCTGTATAATGTATGGCCCAGTTAATTTTCCTACTGAAATCGCTCATTACTCTTACGTAGCTGTACGATTTTTTCCCAGTAAATAGGTTGATTATTCTACGGACGACTTTGATGACTCTTTTTTTTCAGAACAATGATTCATTGTCGAAGATTCCACGAAAATTGGAAATTACTCTCGAGTCGAGGAATTATGCCCAAGCCTTTGCTCCAATCTTGCCGCATCTTCAACGCATTTGGGAATTGGTCATAACCGCTCAGGTAAGATATTGTTCTTCATTGAAGTGCACATTTTGTCTCCTTTTGCAGTAATAGAGTTACAATCTTATGTGCACTTGGATCGAAAAGCGGTAGCGAGTAGCTGCTTTGGTGCAATTTTCTGATCAGCTCTTATGAGAAATTCATAATCATTTACCCTTCCCTTGACATTGCTCTTAACTCATATGTTTGACCTTTCTGCCCTCTGGGTGTGGTGTTCACTACTATCTGTACTGTTCATCTTTCGTGTAGTTCGTCGGTACACATTCATTGTTTATTACTCCAACTGTTAAACTAATAATGCAGTATCATTGGAGCCGTAAATCCGCCATGAATAGTTTATATATGTTTCTTATCTTTTCTCTTGCTATTCTTTATAACAGCCCATTCTTGTAATGGCGCCGAACCCTGGTAAGGCGAGTCAAACAGTGCAGGCCTTAGTCTCATGTATAACACCCCTTGCATTCTCCTCCGACTACCGTCCATTCTTCAACATCTACGACTCTGAATTCAAGGATGTTACTCGTGGCGCTTCATCTAGGTAAACCTTTTTTTGTTAATTCAGGATTCGAAAGCCCTTTTTTGTCGACTTGTAGACTTACTTAAGTGGTCCTTTGCCACCTTGTGTAGGTTATAAAAAAGAATACAGATGTTTATTGATCGTTGAAAACGTGAATGAAAATGCATTTTGAATAGTGCAAGGTGATTAAAATGGTATTTCCTAATAACTAAGTTGGGATAATGGGTATTTCGTGTTGGAACTTTTCTTTAAATCACGTTACGAAAATGTTGGTGACTACGCTATTCAGTCGTAAAAATTATGCTATCAGGCCGCATTCTTTCTGATTGGACTCCTTTAAAGAGGTTAAACAGATAAATATGTTTAAGGCTCTTTATCTCTTCCTTTATTTCTCATTGTTGCTATTTTTGTCAATGAGTGACACATTTAATTTGGCAGAGACATTATTAAAGTGTCCTCTTAGATTCCAACAGGGTGCATTATATTGTATACTGATTTCACAGGCGCATATTGCTCTTGAAACAGGAGTTGTATGGGTTTCTAGTTTGAATACAGAAAGGAAAAATTGGTCCCATATATATTTACCTACCAGTAGTAACTAAAGAGCATTACGAATCACAGCGTGTGTTGGCAGTGTTCACCATGAACACTTCGACACACACACAACTCGCCACAGCTCTTTTATCCTGGCTGCATTATATCTAAGAGTTAATTGACCGACTCAAAGTTGTTTTTTTCTCCCAATTTAGTAATACGTGAAGTATCAAAGATTTTGTTGGCTAATTTAAGCTAAGTGATTTTGTTGAGATAAATTCGTACCTGGATTTACCACTAACCCCCACTCTTTAATCCAACGCAATTCATTAAATAACCTAATTTGTGTTTGTGTTGCTAAAGCTCTACAGTACCGCTAATCTATCGAGTTAGGCTTCATTAGAATGTATGAGCAGAAAACGGTTTAATTAAAAAATGTGCCTGATTGTCTATTTATATATGAATTTTGTTGTGCTTTAAAAGTTACGATGCTACTTCATAGAAACGCCATGCGAACCCCTTTTCATATCCTTAATAAAAATGGCTATACCTCAGTCAAATATATTTGAAGGTTTGCGGAGTAAGATTTTACACTGTTAGTTCAAAGCTGTGAGATTGGTTACATTCAGCTGTTCTCCCTAAATGGTAAATAAGTCACTGTACTTATTCCATGTTCATTTTGCTTTTCCTTTTTTCCTACTATATTTTCTGTTTTTTGTTTTAATTATTTGTTTAATTGATAAGTCTGGATTAATTGAGCTGGTTTCTTCATGTGTGAGCAAATTTTGGTACTTTTAGGTTTAACAGCGATCCTAGTTTGAGTCATAGGTGTAGTGTGCATTCACAAATAAATAGAGCGTGTTTTGGGAGAGTTACAATCGATTCATGTTTGCCTATGAATTTTAAGGGTAGCGATACCATCGCACAACTTAAGTAATTCGTCTTCTGCATTTTAGTCCGATTTCGGTACTTGGAGTTACCAATCCCTTCTTCTCGAAGGCTCTTCAAAACTGGCCGAATGTTATTAGACTCGGCAAGGTGAAGTGTAAGTTAGTGTTGCATATTGCTTGCTTGATAACAGTATTGTGTGTGTGTTCCGAGGTTTTAATGTTGTTACGATTTTCTTACAGGTGTGGAAAAGAAGAAGAAGTCTCATCAGCTCACTTCTAAGAAGCTACTCGATGACTTGAAACCTGGTCTCTACTCTCGTTGCAAACCATTCCTGAAAAAAGATGCTGGATTCTTCAAGCGCCTAAAGAAGTCCCTCACAGATGGTACTCCTGAAGAGGCTATTTCTCTTGCCATTCATCGGTTCTTTCAGGAATTGACCATGAGCTTTCTTATACCACTGGTAAGTGCTCTATCTTTTCCAACTATTGCATCTATTTGGACTTATAATTTTTGTTATTTCACTTTTTATTTCAGGAGCATTACTTGTCGATGCTCATGCCCCTGCATCGGGATATCTCCCCCTTCCGAGTAAGTTTCCCTGCTTACTGATGTTGGACCTTTTTTGAAGTGGCTTCAAGTATTTCGGCATTTCAACTTTTAGTCCGTACCAGTGTTGAAACGCTTTAACATGAACGATTTCTTCCAAACACTGGAGAGCGCTGGACCACGACTAACTTGTGATGTTAAAGGTGATTGGGTCGGTCTCTACAGGTAATGATGTTGCTGAAATCCCACCTGTGTGTTCCTTAACCGCTTATTTCATAGCTGGTCTAATTTCGGCAAAATAAGGTGCTAAGTTGGTGAAAACCAATAGACTTAAAGAATGTAGCTTGATTGGCTTCTTTTTTACTCCCTGTTAGCTTAATTAATGTCGAACGCAAATCATTTTCTGCAAGGTGTGAACGAGAACTCGGTTGCCCGGTTGCATTTACAGTTCTTTCTATACCACTAAACCGCTTGTTTTGTTTGTTTAGTTTCCATAATGTGTAATATGCTGGCGTTACTATTGGCATCCTGCTTTATCCATTGCTCTTCCATTTTCAGGAGTCTTTACAAATAGAGGA